AGAGTGCCTAGTGGTTCAATGCATTTTCTGTCAGTAAAAAATAAATAAACTAGCATTTATTTGCAGCTTACACCCCACCCTGCACTCGAAAACCTTGTTCAGGGTAAGCATGGCAATCACTAAAAAAGAATGACAAATAAATCAGTAACCTTACCAAAAATAAAATAGGAATAAAACTGCAGAGGCAGAATAAAACTATATTCCAGCTATTCTAGAAAGCCTGTGGAAATGCTTTACCTTGCACTAGAAAGATGTAATAATAAGTGCCAGGCAAGCCTCTCTTGGTTTAAGGTAAATGTAAAGGGACCCCCGACTATTAGGCCCAGTCATGGCCGACTCTGGGGTTGCAGTGCTCATCTCGCTTCATTTGCCAAGGGAGCCGGCGTACACCTTCCGGGTCATGTGGCCAGTATGACTAAGCCACTTCTGGCGAACCAGAGCAGCGCACGGAAACGCCGTTTACCCTCCTGCCGGAGCGGTACCTATTTATCAACTTGCACTTTGACGTGCTTTCGAACTGCTAGGTTGTCAGGAGCAGGGACCGAGCAATGGGAGCTCACCCTGTCGCGGGGATTTGAACTGCCGACCTTCTGATCAGCAAGTCCTAGGCTCTGTGGTTTAACCCGCAGCGCCACCTGTGTCCCTTGGTTTAAGCTACCACAGCAGAAAAAGCCATTTGAACAGTTGCCATTCACCAAAATTCGGAAAGTGAGGGTGCCCAGGCAAGAGAATCTTATTTTTAAAAAGAGGGTGCTGGAACTCACCATGAATGCCTCCCTTGTTGTCTTGTAATGGCAGTGAAAGCCACTTGAGAGGTGTCAGAACTGAGTTCTGGAGAGTTCCAGCTGGAAAAAAAATCCTGCAAAGGTTCTTAATGCAAGGGAAAGTACATGTGAGAAAAGATGGTCTTTTCATCATTGGTGCTTCAGGTATACGGCCTCTGTCTTGTATACCTGAAGGAGTGTCTCCACCCCCATCGTTCCGCCCAGACGCTGAGGTCCAGCGCCGAGGGCCTTCTGGCGGTTCCCTCAATGCGACAAGCAAAGCTACAAGGAACCAGGCAGAGGGCCTTCTCGGTAGTGGCGCCCGCCCTGTGGAACGCCCTCCCATCAGATGTCAAAGCGATAAACAACTACCTGACATTCAGAAGACATCGTAAGGCAGCCCTGTTCAGGGAAGTTTTTAATGTGTGACATTTTAGTGTATTTTTGGTCTCTGTGGAAGCCGCCCAGAGTGGCTGGGGAAACCCAGCCAGATGGGCGGGGTACAAATAAATTCTTCTTCTTCTTCTTCTTCTTCTTCTTCTTCTTCTTCTTGTACCCAGGTCCCGAGCCATATAAATAAGAACGTTTTGTTAAGAGTATTTTTCTTAAGCCAGTTGAAACACTTATGCAGCAATTGAAAGTTAACATCCTCGACAGACACTTTCCCCCACATTCCATTTCCAGCAACAGAAACCAACATCTTGTCTTGATTATGGATAACACCTCTGAGGATAGCTTTCTTCCTCTCTCAACTGCTGAAGGCTTCAACAAAAGATGACTGGCCAACGCTCCACTTAAAATTATCTCAGCGAGGAAAAGGGCAGGAAGAAATGCATACCTGTGCACTTTAGCTAACAGGTGGCGCAGTTAGCAACAATGAATGAATACAGCGCTCGTAAAGGGAGGGGAGCCTTAAGTGAGCACACTTCGCCACAAAGCTCTTATCTCTTCATGCCTGGCTGCCTGACCATTCTCCACTTCAATTAGTAGCCCACTATTATGCAAATAACATGGAAGCCAGAAGTCATACACCTGTGCTCGCCTCCATATTTAATATTCCTACGAAGGTTTTTAACCCTGTTCTGCGGCAGAGAAGCGTGCAGGAATGCTCAGCTCAGGTTACGGTCAGCCAGGTGAAGTACCTTTTCAACTGGAACAATCGTTTGCAAAGAATTCAAAGGGACGCAGAACATTTCGCCTTGATCTTGGGAATAGGATCACTTAGTGAAACGGAAATATCTACCAATATATATAATATGGGTTTGACATAGTTGGCAGTTCCACAGCAACGCAGAAAACCTGATTGCAACCTGGTCTCAAGCAGGCTGGCCTAAAACAATGTTTTCCAAACTTGGGTCTCCAGCTGTTTTTGAACTACAAGTGCCATTAGCCCTTACTACTGGGCCTACTAGCTAGGGATGATGGGAGTTGTAGTCCAAAAACAGCTGGAGACCCAAGTTTCAAAAACACTGGCCTAGAAGAACCACAGAGTCCCCTGTTTTGAATATGGAAGGATCCAGGTGCAGCATCTCCAGTTAAAAGATCTCAGCAGAACTAGATGTAGTCCAAAACATCTGGATGGAGCCACGTTGGCCAATGCTGCTCTAGAGCCACTGCCATTCCCAGGTTTAGCCAAGCTGGCCAGTCGTATAACATACTCAGCTATCTCTTTGCAGGGCTCTGTTTCTAAAACAAGAGTAGCCATTGCGGTGCCTCCCCAGATTTAGTGGACCTCAGATCCCATCATCCCTAACCACTGGCCATGGGGCTGATGGTACCCGGAGTCACAACATCTGGATGTTGGGTAAGCCTGTCCTAAAACATAGGCAATCTTTTACAAAAAAAATATGTGTTGCAAATAGCGATATTTCTGCTCCATCCCCTCAACATTCCCAAGATGATAGTTGTTGTTTTTTTTTAAAAAAGGAGATAATCAGTCAAATATATCTTTCTATGACACTGACGTGCAACACATTTTCCTCGGGATTTTCAAAGATTATGTGTGTGTTTGTACAAGTTTGCCTGTGTTTTTCTTGGTAGCAAAACCATCTAGACAGAGCCGAAAGGAAAGGAATCGGCTCTGGGGTGGGGGGAAACAGCTGGGTTAGAAGTCACCCTTGAGAAAAAAGAATTCAAAAGCAATGTTTATACTTCAATTGGAGAGACTTTTTAAATGTTATATTTTATTTTGTAGCTCCATTTTAATGAAAAATGTCCACATCCTTGCCGCACATTTTATTCCTCGAGCCTAGAACCCAAGGGGAACTCGCAGAAATGAAATAAAACAAAACAAATATCAAGAGCTCTGTAAATGCAGCACTTGGAAATAACAAAGCAAACCTCAATCTGTTCAGAAGGAATCGCTCTAATAAAGCTTTACAGTCAAGTCATCACAAAACAAGTTAACTTCAGCCAATATTGAAAAGAACCAGAAAAAGCCTTGAAGCTGTATTCTGTATAATTACAATGGGAAATTAAGAAACAAGAATATGATTGAGGCCAGATTCAACCTTCATTCCCCACCCCAATACAAACTTTGGTCTATGCAACATGTACTAAGGGGTGACTGTAAGGGCCTATATAAATTGCTGGGACAGGAATCCAATGATAAAACTCATTAGAGATGTTAACTACGGTACATGCCGATTACTTTTATGCAATATACTGTTGTCCCCGAGTCCGAACTGTCACTTTGCATTTCTTAGTGCAGAAGGTATTGATCTGATGTGTGGAGATGTTTCCTATTCTAATTAATTCAAGAGGGTTCTGGAAGCTTCTCTGTGTGAAAGAAACAAGCAGAAGGTTCATGATGTTTGGGTTATTCCTTCAGAGAAGCTGAGTACAGCTGGTTTAAAATGGTTCTGTTATCTTTTCTATCAAGGTCATGCTGACTATAAAAGTCCAGAAGGAGCTCTTTCTCCTTTTATCTCTCTTTCTTCTGGTGTGGTGTTTAGTCTTATTATAAGTTATTGTAAGTTTAAATTAAATCTGCTGCAACTGGATTTCTTTTGGACAGTGCCAGTCCTGCATGTATTGGATTTGTGACCATTATGTTCATTTGCCTTCAGTAGCAGGCAAGCTCTGCTGGATAAAATATTAATTGCCTCTGGTCTATTTTTGGGGGAATCCTGCAACATGTTTAAGTTTTTACTTTGCTAACTATAATAATAATAATTTATTATTTATATCCCGCCCATCTGGCTGAGTTTCCCTAGCCACTCTGGGTGGCTCCCAATTAAGTGTTAAAAATAGTACAGCGTTAAATATTAAAAACTTCCCTGAACAGGGCTGCCTTCAGATGTCTTTTAAAGATAGGATAGCTGCTTATTTCCTTCACATCTGAAGGGAGGGTGTTCCACAGGGTGGGCACCACTACCGAGAAGGCCCTTTGTCTGGTTCCCTGTAATCTCACTTCTCGCAATGAGGGAACCGCCAGAAGGCCCTCGGCGCTGGATCTCAGTGATGGGGATGAGCGATGGGGATGGGGACGCTCCTTCAGGTATACAGGACCGAGGCCGTTTAGGGCTTTAAAGGTCAGCACCAAGACTTTGAATTGTGCTCGGAAACGTACTGGGAGCCAATGCAGATCTCTCAGAACCGGTGTTATGTGGTCCCGGCGGCCACTCCCAGTCACCAGTCTAGCTGCTGCATTCTGAATTAATCGCAGTTTCCAGGTCACCTTCAAAGGTAGCCCCATGTAGAGCACATTGTAGTAGTCCAAGCGGGAGATAATCAGAGCATGCACCACTCTGGCGAGACAGTCCGCAGGCAGGTAGGGTCTCAACCTGCATACCAGATGGAGCTGGTAGACAGCTGCCCTGGACACAGAATTAACCTGCGCCTCCATGGACAGCTGTGAGTCCAAAATAACTCCCAGGCTGTGCACCTGGTCCTTCAGGGGCACAGTTACCCCATTCAGGACCAGGGAATTCCCCACACCCGCCCGCCTCCTGTCCCCCCAAAAAGTACTTCTGTCTTGTCAGGATTCAACCTCAATCTGTTAGCCGCTGTATACGTTGGAGTTCTGCTCTGGATCAATATCAAATACCCTCAGAACTCAGAAAATCCAACCCTGCCCAGCTAGAACTCAACTGAGGAAGACCACTTCCCCAAATGCACCCTAATTATGAGTCATAGAGCAAATACAAATGAATGAAGAGTAAGATAATGGAATTGTCGAGTTGGAAGGGTCCCTGAGGATCTAGTCTGACCCCCGGCAACGCAGGAATATGCAGCTGTCCCATACAGGGATTGAACTCGGAACCTTAGCATTATCAGCACCACGCTCTAACCAGATGAACTATCCAGGCTGAGCTAATCAGCTTGTAAATATTATAAAGGGATAAGAGTTTCAACAAAAGCCAGATCAATTAGAATCTGAATAACTGCTGCGTGAATTCTTCAAAGTCAAAAATTGGTTTTTATTGCTTCCGATTTAAAGGCTGTAGAAGACTCAACTTTCAAATATAACCCCCAAATAGGTCTGTTGACTTTTGTTAATCCAAGCACCTCAACTTTTGCCAAGAAGTAAATCTTTTCCTAATACTGTACTTTAGACATTCTTACCACTACAGTAATTCAGGATAGTGGCTAAGTGGTAGTGACTAGCGTGCTTTAATTTCGTTTTTCAAAACACAGTAGTGTTCTTTGTAAAATAAAGGAAATAAAAATTACGAGCAAAAGATCTGTGGCATCTGTTTCCTATTTACAGTCTTTCAAACTTCCTAAATCCATTAATCAGAAGCATAACAACATTATATATATAATAAAAAGGCAAAATAAATAGCAAATGCTGGCTTCCCATTTATTTTCTCCATTCAGATTTTAACACAGTTGGTGAACTGCATAATGTTGGAAGCTCAACAATCAATGCTATTTTTAATCCTTTCCTGAAATACTAATGCTTATTCCACATCTCCTTTTTTGCCATTTCAGTAAATTTGGCAAGAGAGCGCTGAACAAAGACTCTTGCAAATTACATTTGGAGGCCTCCAACTCTTCGCTCACAGAGGAAAGGGGTCACAACTGTGTTTGCCCATCACTTTAAACCATAGTAAATGTTTAACTATGTTTAAATGTGAATGAGTAGCAAGCTGCTCAAAAGTCCCCACTTCACTCCTTCCCGACTTCTGGCCATGCAGTGGCAGGAACAACCACAAACTGTACATTCACGTAAAACCATAGTTAAACATTAATTATGGCTTTGAGCATGGAAGAGTAGGACCTACCTGTGCACAGAGGACATTTGGAACAAAAGAAGAACCCTTCTAGATGAGAAGAAATGTCCAGCTGTGAACTAGATGCCTTTAAGAAGGTATTACAATGGTACCTCAGGTTACAGACGCTTCAGGTTACAGACTCCGCTAGCCCAGAAATAGTACCTCGGGTTAAGAACTTTGCTTCAGGATGAGAACAGAAATTGTGTGGCAGCGGGAGGCCCCATTGGCTAAAGTGGTGCTTCAGGTTAAGAACAGTTTCAGGTTAAGAATGGACCTCCGGAATGAATTAAGTTCTTAACCCGAAGTACCACCTTGGTTCTGGAATGGCTTAGTTGTCGAACAAATTGGTTCCCAAATGCCGCAAACTCAGACGTAAGTGTTCTGGTTTGCTAACGTTTTTCGGAAGCCGAACATCCAATGCAGCTTCCACTTGAGTGCAGGAAGCTTCTGCAGCCAATCAGAAGCCGTGCCTTCGTTTTCAAACAGTTTTGGAAGTCGAATGGACTCTCGGAATGGATTAAGTTCAAGAACCAAGGTACCACTGTATTTGTAATATTTGGGGATGTAGCAAGTCACCTAGAGATTTTCTTTGTAATATGAAGGCTTATATACATTGCTTAACTAGCTAAATAAGAAGCCATTAAGCAGAAGATAAAGGCAATAACCCATCACCACTGCTGTTACTCAGCAACTCATATTCAGATGGATGCTTGAACTAGTAGGTTCCACTAGAGCTGGGCGATATTACAATTACAGTGGTACCTTGGGTTACATACGCTTCAGGTTACAGACTCCGCTAACCCAGAAATAGTACCTCGGGTTAAGAACTTTGCTTCAGGATGAGAACAGAAATTGTAATTGACTAAAACAGATACAACGGCCAAACTGCGATACCGGTTTCAGACTTTTTGAGCTGGTGAAACACCGCGGTTTCCCGGCTTCCACCAACACACTCACTCTAGTCTGCCTGCCTCCTTCTTGCTCTGTACTGACAGAGGCCGGAAAGCCAGATCTAATCGCTTGATCAGTTGGGAAGAGGGCTTCCTTAAACCACCCACCTCTTCAGCTGATCTTGGCAATTTGAGCTGGTGATACATTGCGGCTTCCCTGCCTACCCTCAGTTGATGAAGCCCCCTCACAGTTCCAGCTCATGGGGGCCAGAACGCTAGAGGGGCTTGCTCAGCTCACTGAGCAAACCCCATGCCACTCTGGCTCCTGCAAGCAAGAGCAGTATGGGTTAGGGCTGGGCAATTTCAGACATTGTGATATATCAGTACATAACGATATTTAGCTGCTGATGTATCACAATGTTGAAAAACAGGTATCACCCAGCCCTGGGTTCCACTTATTTATTTAAAACATTTCTATACCCATCTTCCATTTAAAAACACAGTAATGACATTAACTAAGATCATGGCCACTGGTCCCATCACCTCCTTGCAAATAGAAGGGGAAGAAATGGAGGCAGTGAGAGATTTCACTTTCTTGGGCTCCATGATCACTGCAGATGGTGACAGCAGTCATGAAAGACACCTGCTTCTTGGGAGAAAAGCAATGACAAACCTAGACAGCATCTGAAAAAGCAGAGATATCACCTTGCCGACAAAGGTCCATATAGTTAAAGCTATGGTTTTCCCAGTAGTGATGTATGGAAGTGAGAGCTGGACCATAAAGAAAGCTGGTTGCTGATGAATTGATGCTTTTGAATTATGGAGCTGGAGGAGACTCTTGAGAGTCCCATGGACTGCAAGAAGATCAAACCTCTCCATTCTTAAGGAAATCAGCCCTGAGTGCTCACTGGAAGGACAGATCGTGAAGCTGAGGCTCCAATACTTTGGCCACCTCATGAGAAGAGAAGACTCCCTGGAAAAGACCCTGATGTTGGGAAAGATGGAGGGCACAAGGAGAAGGGGACAACAGAGGACGAGATGGTTGGACAGTGTTCTCGAAGCTACCAGCATGAGTTTGACCAAGCTGTGGGAGGCAGTGGAAGACAGGAGTGCCTGGTGTGCTCTGGTCCATGGGGTCACGAAGAGTCGGACACTACTAAACGACTAAACAACAACAACAATGACATTAAAATTGCAATGGAAATTACACTTAGACTTAAATGACATATACCCGGAGTATTAACATGTGTAAGTGCAACGGGACAGCCTACTCTAAGCTGGTATAACACTGCTGCATCTCTGCATTGAAAGTGCATGGACACCCAATACAGAGATGAAAAGAGTCAATAGCCCCCCCCCCCCCACCTAGCAGAAGGAAACAGGAAGGTGGCAGGGGCAGAACAGTGAATCATGCAGACATAGCTGGCAGCTCCCTCTGCAGATGTGTTATTAGTTATTTAATTATTATTAACATACCAGTACAGTGGTACCTTGGTTCTCCAACTTAATCCATTCCAGAAGACCGTTCTAAAACCAAAGCATTCCGAAACCAAGGAGCGCTTTCCCATAGAAAGTAATGCAAAATGGATTAATCCGTTCCAAACTTTTAAAAACAACCCCTAAAACAGCAGTTTAACATGAATTTGACTATCTAATGGGACCATTGATCCATAAAATAAAAGCAAGAAACAATGTACTGCAGTCACACAATCAATCAGTCGGTAGCTGAACTGGGTTCCACACAGTCACAAAAACAAAACAAAAAGAGCTGTCAAAAAACAACAACAAAATAAATAGCAAAAACAGACAGATCTCAGTGTAACACTCAAAATCGAAGCACAACACTCAAAATGGAAGTGTGGCACTCAAATCGGAAGAGTAACACTCTAAATGGAGCACGTTCGGCTTCCAAAAAAAGTTTGCAAACCGGAACACTTACTTCTGGGGTTGCAGTGTTTGAATACCAAGGTGTTTGAGAACCAAGGTACCACTGTAGTTCTCTCAAGACACACTCACTGGCTGCGACACACTTGAAGACGAATAAACCCACCATGGCAAGAGCTGTAAGGCGCTGGAGTCCATCCTGTTAAGGGAATGGCCCTGCTTTTGTGTTGCTCCCATTCATTTTAATGGAGCTTATTCAGGAGAAACTTGATGGGTTGAGCCCTAGCTTCTTAGTGAATGGCGCTTCTCAAGTGTTTTCAAAACAGCAGCAAGGCAGAGATGTTGACAATTGGCTTAAAATCCACGGTGAAATTATCAGATTCTGGAACTCAGAACTTCTGAGAGCGGCCACTCAAACCCAACTCCAGTTACAAAAACAAAATGTGTGTGTTATATTTGACAGAAGAATCCCTTTCGTTCTCCAGAAAAATATGAAGCCTGCTCCGTTGCCGATTTGCTAATATTAACATCTGCAACAGTTAATTCTACGTGGAGCAGTATTAATTACATTCCTTCGCGGAGTAAAGTTTCTCCAATAATTTATTACCTGATAAACTGTGTTGCTAGTTACCCAGTTTCAAAAACGAGCAGTTTCTAAAAGAACACACTATATACAAAACCAAAGCTCACACTCAAGGGTCAAAGTTTGTGACATGAATTAGGCAAGCAACTCCATCTGGAATGCAAAACTTTTATAGAAATAATATGTAATGCATCTCTGAAGCAAAGAGCCAAAGATTTTCCGAGGTCTTTCCTTTACTTCTACCCCATTAAAACATATTAAAATAGGCTACCTTGGTGATGGAGTTTCTTAGAGCAAATGCTTCATTATTCAATCAAAAAATACAGGGGCTGTCCCCCTGCCCCCCGTCTACGTAATCTTTACTTCAATAAGCCTCCCCATTTAATTTGCTGGTCTTGTGGAACAACCAGAAGCAAGAAACAAATTTACCACTGCTTTTCAACACTCATGAGCTAATTATGTGAGGTAAAAAGCCATGGTAAAGACAATCCTTAAATTGGTTTAAATGTACTCCTCATTCCCCCTAAATAATGTTTCAGAATTCTTATTAAAAAGTGAAGTTTTTTAAAAAATGGCCTGCAACATTTTCAAGTCATTCTTGCATCAGTTAGGCTCAGAGAGCTCTTCAGTTGCATTATGTGGCAAAGCATTCAGAGCAGATAATATGGACCTCAGGCCTGTAGTGGTCACTTCAAATTGATTTTGCAGCTGTTTTTCAAATTTTTGTTTGACTTTCAACTTGAA